TGAACGGGCTGCCCAAACACCATATGTTTATTGATAAAGCAATTTTGGTCATAGCTCTCTATCGGGCATTAAACTAAATGTTATCTTTTCCAAATTAAATAAGTGGTGACAGTGTGGAGTGCCTTCACCACACCAGACAATATTAAATTAAAATAGGAAACGTTTAAGCTGTCATGAAATGGCCACTGACTGATGCAAAAGAGCAGTCCAGCAGCAGTGTACGTCTCAAGTTTTTAAAGTGTGGGAAGGCAGCACAGCCTCGCACACAGACACAAACACGCCCACGTAGGCCAGCCCAACGCCATCTCCTCTCATTAAAGGCTTCAGGGTGTTAAGCTGCCTGTTCAGCTAAGGCCGTGGGAGCTGTCGCTTCCATTCTCACACACACACACACACACACACACACACGGCTGCAAACAGACTCATCGATCAGATGAGCATTTCTTCAGACTGACAACTGGATGGATAACAGTGATCTGCTTTTTCCTGGTTGGCTGTCAGTGAGCTCAGGATGTGAAATCAATTTTTTTAAAAGTTGATTCCGGCACACGAGGTTACCATGACAACGCTGACTGCGAGAGTCACGGGTCTATTTGATTGATTTTTCAAATATTCAGTCAGCTGATGCAACCATGACGGGCATATATTTTAAGGAAGCTCAGTAGCTGCTCTTCCTGCTTTACTTTCTCAAATGAGACTTGCTTGTTCTTCAGTATTCTCACTAATTCCCCGTCTTCAGCGGTCCATTATATAATAAAGTGATGTCTCTAATCATAGCTGACATGCAGGTCAGGTGACCCGGGCCTGATCTGCTTAATGCTATGAGGCGTGTACAGATTATAGTCTGTAAGGTCTACTGTCCTGCTGAGCCCCATTAGTCACAGTGTAGTGATGAAGGTGAGCTCCTGCTCCAACCAGTATCTGAACTGGGGGGCTGAATTTCTTAGCCCATGAAAAGTTGGCTTTTTGGAGATACAGCGGGAAGCTGTTATAATGATCACGTCGGTCTGGGTCAAACTGATCACTTTAAGCAGAACCAAAATGTTTTTCTATTTCTTTATTGCTCTTGCAGATTACCATCTGACATTTTATTACATGAAAATAAAGTAATGAAATGGACAGCTTCACTATTCACTGAATTTCAAAACACAGTACAGCTGTTTAAAAATGCTTTTCAAATTACTGTACAATTAAGTTGCTGTTCTGTGTATAATTCAAATACACTATACAGCAATATAGTACAGTATTTCATATGAAACATAGCTTGTAGTTCAAATTATAATTAGGTTATAGCCTGAGACAATATTGTGCTGTTCACAAATACAGTAGTGCAAATGGGCTAGTAAGCCATAGTTTGGCGGAAACCACTGCCAACCTATGGCTATGGAGCAGTAAACCAACTAACATGACTGTTAAAATATATGTGGCTATGACAAAAAAAACACCAATTTATTTGGACACCATTTATTTGCTTCCAGTCTCACTGTAGACTTTTAGAAATACAACTTTGATTAGACATCCATCACAGGTTTTGTGGTTGTTGCTGTAAGATGATCAATACAGTGCCTAAAATATCTGAAACTCAAGAAAATGACATAGCTCTTGGTGCAACTCTGCTTCTTTAACAAGATAGCAAGAACATCTAGCTATAAAGTCTAGACGAGTAACTATTGAGCAGTTCTGCCTGGCCAAGATTGGTATTGTGTGAGTCAGTGAGCTCCTGTTTTTTTTGGCAAGAAATCTGTGTACGTCAGTTTATAATAGCCTGGAGCAGAGCAGCACCCTGCAAACTAATCTGCTGTCTCAGCCTTCAGTTTAGCATGTACTGTATGACCTGAGAAACAACTAACTGTGGCTGAGTAAAAGACGTCTTATGGACACAGAAAAGGAAAAAAACAGGGAACTAAATTAAACTCAACTCCTGAACAGACACATCTAGTGATGCCAGTACACAGAAAAGAGGATAAAGTGATAAAGACCAGCTGGACAGATTATGTTTAAAACATAAAATTAATAATCTATGGCATTGTTGTTATTAAAAGGAAGAGTGACAAATCTGAAATTAGCAACACCCAGAGACTGAACTCCAGAGAGACATTTCCAGCATTGTTCAAAAGACAGCAGGCAACATCTACACCCAAACATGATGCTGGAAACTCAGGTAAACTCATACTGCAACGTTTCAGTAATATTTTTATCAGCTTGAGGTTGAACTAATCCATGTTCGTTACATCATTATTATTATTATTATTTTGGCTCCTGCAATGGGTATGGGTACGTCCCATCCTTGTGCGTTGAGCTGACCAGATGAACCAGTTGTTTCCAGTGCTGACGATCTTGAGCCAGCTGCTCTGCATCCTCCACAGCAACTCCGTGTTGTTGGAGGTCACCCGCGAGGACGTCGAGCCATCGGGTGCAGGGTTTACCTGGTGTTCGTTTCCAGCCTGCAGCTCTCTGATCAAACTGGAGAATGGCTCTCGTTGGATGGTCAAGAGGGAGGCGGAGGACATGGCCAAACCAGCGGGTGCGGCATTGCGCAGCCAGACCAGATGCTCCGGGCTGGCACGTACGGGCTCTAAGCACTTGATTGGAAACCCGCTGGGGCCACCTGATGTTCTCTATGGTCCTGAGGGCCCTGCTGTCAAAGCCATCTAGTCTTGCAGCCAGTGTCTTATTTAAAGGCCAGGTCTCGGAGCCATAGAGCAGGATGGGGAGTACTGCTAAGTTATAAATCCGGAGCTTCATCCTGTGTGAGATGGTATGGTGCTGCCAGAGTGGTTTCCAGAGAGACTGCAGAGCTGACGCAGCCAGGGCTCTTCTGCGGGTAATCTCTGGTTTTAGGTCCCCGTTGTTTGTCACTAGGGATCCCAGATACAAAAAACTGCTGACGGGTTCTACAGTATCGTTGCCAAACTGCAGGGGAGTTGGTTATGGTCCGTCACCAACATACATGAACTTGGTTTTTGTCCAGCTCACCTGGAGGCCAAGCTTCTCAGCCTCTTCACTGTATATGCCCAGAGCGCCTCTCAGCTGGCTGAGGGACGTGCTGAGCAGGATGGTGTCGTCAGCGTATTCCAGGTCAGTCAGATAATAACTGCCGAAGGCCACTCCGGGGACCCGCTCACAAACCCTAGACATCAGATGGTCAATGATGCAGTTGAAAAGGTCAGGAGCAGCCACACAGCCCTGTCGAACGCTGCTGGAGATGGGAAACCAGTCTGAGTCTCTGCCGTTAATACGGACACAGCTCTGTGCGTTACTATAAAGCAACATAAACAGGGCAATGATCTTGGGTGGTGCTCAAAGGATACTCCACAGTGAAGTGTGGCAGACGGTGTCAAAGGCAGCCTTCAAGTCTATGAACCCGATGTAAAGATGGCGATCTTTACGGAATTCATAGGTCTTCTCTATCAGCAAGCGATGTTGTCAGCAATGTTTGTTACATGATTATGTTAGATTTACTGCATTTAGCCTACATGATACATCAGTGTTAGCTCCCCTGCCCCTTTTCAAAAACTATTTGTCCATTTCTCAACGGAGGCTCAGGTAAAAAGGTACATTTGTCAAAAAAGTACCCTATGAAAAGGTACAGAAATGGTCCTTAAAGTGTTAATTGTGGACCTTTGTTTATTTTTAAAGGTACAGAATCTTTGCTGACAGCAGAGGGTACGTACTTTTAACAAACTGAAGGTACAGGCAAATGATAGAAAATCAGTGTTCCCCTGCCACCAGAGCATAAAGGGGTGGCGATGGCCCAGTGCATAAGACACATGCCTTTGGTGCAAGAGCCTCGGGTTCAATTCCCCCTGTGGCTTCAACTAAATAAATAATTGCAAAGGTGTATTTTTGTCACTAGGGGTGCAGAAATGTTCTTTTACAGGTACAGACAAGAAGGTACAAAAATGTACAAAAATGTACCGCCATTTAAAGGTACAGTCTTCATACCCTGCTAGGGTCCAGCTGGAGTGACAAAGAATTTGCACCCTTTTAGGCCCATTCCTGTACCTTGAATTCGCTGTTTGTTGAGCTGGACTGAATATTATAAATGAGATTGTTAGACAGTTAGACCTCACTAAGTAACGTTACTGCAGTAAATGTGTTGTAGTCCTGTGCGTTATGTTGCATTATTGTATATTATGTGGTTCATGTAAGTTACAGCGACTGAGACGGTGGAGAAGCTGTGTACCTGAGTATCGGTTAAATCACAATAAATCTAAACTGAATGTTACGAAGCAAACAGCGGTAGATCAGTGCTAACCTAGCTGGCTGCCCCTGCCCTGCATTACGACAGGCTCGCATAAACAAATCGCTTCACTTTTGCTTTTCCGTTACATCCTTTCTTGCAGGCTAAAATCAATACTTTGACATAATACCGGTGGTACACAGGATAGTACCATGGGTCACGTTAGCTGGTGAAGTAATGTAGAACTGTAGTATTTTGCACCGGATAACGTCAGCAACTGCTCAGTGTTAGCCAGTAAGTTAACGTTATCCAACTTGAGCCAGCTGAAGAAAAACATCATAATGTATTTCACATGCTTTGCAGTAATGTTGGTTTACCGTCCAATAGAATGAAAAGCCAACTTGGTTGGTTTTGTCGGTTTCAAAAAAAAAAGTGGAGGTCTCTCCGTGACTCAAGCCTTTCTGATGGGGACTGTGTTTTCACCCGACATCTATTTGATTCTCGTTTGGGCTGAAGGGCTTTCAGCACATAAAACTGGTTGTTTTCATCCTTACGCAGAGTTTATGTTGGAATTTGTGTTGTGCTGGGAGCCGGTTGTTTTGTGGTGTTAGTGGACTGCATTTTGTTAGGTGAGCTGTTGTTGCTGTAGTCAGAGAGAGGCTCGGGACCGCGCATGTAGAATTGTGGCTTTTCCGAGCAACAGAGAAAACAGGCGTGTGCTTTATTTCTAAGTGAGGTTGACAAAAAGGCAGTAAAAAAGTTATTAACCAATCAAAGTAATTTCCTTTCCACACACAAACAACCTGTTGTCAGGTACCTTGTTCCAGTCGAAGGGACAGCGATCGCCTGGCGGCCTCCACCTCTGATTTGGGAGTATCCAGAGCCTGCCGGCACCACTGCAGAGGTGTGAGGGAGTTATCTGTGGAGTCACTGGCTTTTGATGACGAATACAACCTAGAAAGAGACACAGAGTCAAACAACGGTCTTAACTGCCACAGGACAACGTACAGTACTCTTTATGATAATTCAACCCTGTAGAAATAAATGAGTTTGGGCACTCATTCATGAACAAGATTCTGCAACCATGCTAGCAGCCTCAAGGCTTTGAGCTAAAAGCTAATGTCAGCATGCTAACATGCTCATAACGACAATGCTAACATGTGGATGTTTAGCATGGTCACTATCTTAAATTAGCTAATTAGTACTAAACACATACAGCTGACAGAAATATAATTCTGGACGTATTTAGTCACAAACCAAAGTAGGGCAGCAACTAATAATTATTTTCAGCACTGATAAATATGCTAGGTAATAAATAATTTAAAAAAGTCTTGTTTTGCCCAACCAAGAGTCCTAAACCCAAAGTTTGGTTTACAGTGATCTAAAATCAAAAGCTGGATCCACAGAACATTTAGCATGTTTTTACTGCTATGCATGAAAAAAAGGCTAAAAACAATGAATTAATTATTAAAATAGCTGCAGAGTTACCTTTTCTGTTTTATCAACTAATTGATTAAATCATTGCAGCTCTAAACGAAACTACTGGATAAATGGAAATTTTGTCATCTGCTCATGGCGTTAGATGAAAAGTCAGGAGATCATCAGAATTTTTCCCATAGAGCCACGCTGCTAGCATGGCTAAGCTCATTTTTGATATTGCATCTTTTCATTTGATATTTCAACATTTTAGTTAATTTTCAGTTAATCCATGGATGGATGAGACGAAGGCATCCAATGTCCAACAAAAAGGAAAGACTGCAATGTTCATGTCTTTCAATATTAAAACTCCATTGCTTAACATAAATTAGCCCTTTTCCAGGTCCAGTTGTAGGACTCCTAGATATATAATTTCTTTTGTTACCTAGTCAGATTTATGAACGCTGCGTTAAATTCTCATCCTTTTTGCTCTTTCCACAGAAACACAATCAGAGATGACTAATTGAAAAAAGGAACAATTACCAGCAGTAGCAGGTGTCACTGTTCAAATGTTTGAAGGATATTAGTGTTATGAAAGTATTGCTATAAAAGCTCTATTAGACCCACGTCTCCTTGCAGTCCCTGACAGAACACAGCAAGGCCTCCATCTTTCCTTTGTGCCACCAATTCATCTCCTGAGTCATAAAACTCTCCGCCCATTGGCTTTAGGTGATGCTAAGCTTTTTAGATGTGAGGAAGAGGAGCTGCTCTGTTCAAATGGAGTGGATCAGATTATTCTGACAGCCCTGAACTCCTTCTCCTACATTTTCCCTCTGCAGGCATCATAGAGGGAGCTGAATTATAGATTAAAACCCTTCACTGCCATCAGGTGAGGGTCTGACCTGAGAGGGACTCACAAACACACCTTGGCTACTGATCCTAGATACAAGAAGGGGACATGCCTGCAATATGAATACACCAAAAACATGATTAACCTGAATGTACTGCTGTACAGAATCAGCTGTATTCTTTGCTCATGTTTCTATGTAGTCTGCTCTCACTGAGATAAATGAGGTGGACAAAATATTAGAAACAGCTTCCCACAAAGTTGAATCAACACAAAAAAATTATATCATAACCTTCATAAATCTAAGAATTTATTGCAGGAGTATTTTCTTTTAAGCTAGGTGTACCTAATAAACTGGCAACTAGAGCGTAAATCTCAGCACATACACATCCATGTTTCTTAGAGCAATGCTTGCCTTGATTGGTCTATTGATAGAAAATTACTAGATTATCAGTTTATTAATCGGTTCCTAATTTGATGATTAACTATTGGCCATTAAGTTTTAAAAAAAACATGCTGATTGCCTCCCTGACAAATGCTCTTCTCTATTTCTAAGTTAGACTAAAGAATAAGCAATTTGAAGACCTCGCTTTGGGTTTTAAGAACACTTCTAATAGCCAACTTAACTTGATTAACTGAAAAGGCTAAAACAAGAATTAGTGCAGTCCTGTTTGCAACCAAAAACTGCCAACTATTCATTCTAAGTGGCTTTCCATTGGTTTATTTGCTTGAGATGGTCAGTACACCCTGCAAGCTGCAACTAAATCAGCAAAATTTCAGTTTCTGGTTTTGAGGGAGAGTCTTTGTAGCCACTTACATGTGTTTTTCAGTTGTAGAAGACAATAACGATATCAGATCAGGGTTTAAGTGTTTCTAAGTTTTTGTTTGTTTGTTATAGTGTGTTTTTTTTTTTTTTTTTTTAAGTAAAACACACTATATCTCATGGAAATTGTGGTTTTAAAGCATGACACAAAGACTTGTAAGGCTTTGATCCCTGAGGTAGAATAAGGCCCCATGGTAAAAGCCATTTTGATATGAATCTGAGTCTGTCTCCCGCACAGAGGAAGAATGGCAGCTCGGTACAGCCCTGACAACAAGTAGCCTGTTCTAGCTGAATAATTCACCTCCATGGTGGGTGTCTTTGTCTTGGCATGGCATGGAGGTGGACAGCCTGGGTTATTACAAAGCTTACATCCAGAAACAATGAGAAAATCAGGCATGAATAACAAGAGAATCATGTAACGTTAGCTTACAGCAAAACGCAACAAATTGTTGAGAATTAAGCCAAACCCTGGACAGTTACCATGTGTCATCGGGTTCATCTGAGCAGGACAGAGAATTCAAGTCCAAAAGTTCCAGCTCATCGAGGACCGACGGCTCGGATCCGTCCTCAGCCTCCCCCGCAGAAGCTGCTCCATCCCCGTCTATGTGCGGGAGGAAATAGTCGAAAGGCTCCTCCGGGGGCGTGAATGACCCCAAGGACGACTGGCACAGCAGGGTGGGCAGCGGGCTGGGCAGGCAGTATCCCCCGACGCTGCCGAGCACGTACGCCGGGGACGCGGGCAGCACATGCGGGCCGCCGTTGCAGCCGCTCGCCCGGGTCCGCAGCTGCTCGTTCTGCCGCTCCAGTTTCCGGACAAGCTCCTGCAGCTTCTTCACCTCCAGCTCGGCGTTCAGGGTGTTGCTGTTGCAGTCCACCTCCGTCATCATCGCGAGGTTCAGTACCGCTGCCTCCATTTGACCAGAACACAGTAATTAATGCTATTTTAGCCGCTACAGGTAGGACCAAGCTGCGGCGGTTCACCGGTCGCCCTCAGACTGGTTTCTATATTCTGGTAGTGGTAGTAATCTGTCTAGTACGCCTGTCTGGACGGGCACCCAATGGGAGACTATAAGGCTCCACCTCTCTACCACACACACCCACACACCCGCCTTCCTAACCCACAGGCCTGATTACAGGTAGAAACTGCACCTGTCAGCCTAAGTTGTGGGCGAAAACCCACCTAAGATATTTTAGCCCTTTATTTTAGACTGCAAACTTAAACCATTGAACTTTTTTATAACCAGAACCGTTTTAAACCGTGTTTTTTTATTTAAAGAAAATATACCGCACAGGATATTGTTAATTTATCAATAGTCATCCATTAAACTGATGTCCAAATTGTTCTGGACAGAAAAAGATGCATTATCATTAGCAGTGGCGCACCTGGGCACCATGTATGTGCATTTAGCACCATCTGGTGGCTGAAGCTGGCTATGACACGAAATGGAAATTCTGTATGGTGTCAGCAGGTTTGGAAAAAAATTTTTCGTTTCCGTTTTTTTTTTTCAATTTCAATTTCAAAACACTTTATTTATCACCATGGGGAAATTGCGAGACCCGTAGATTACTAAAAGTTAAATAAAAAAACATCTTTCATAGTAAACATAGCCTAATATATTAATAAATAAATAGACAGACATATATCAATATTGTCACCATAGTCCAAAGCAGCATTACTAAATTAAATAAGTACATTATCAAACAAAGTAATTCATGTACTGTATAGGTGGGTTGTAGTGTCTGCATAGCAGATGGGTGTGGTCATAGTACAGTATTGCAAGAATTTATGAATCACTAAGTAAGTGTGCGTGTGCTTGTATGCATAAGTGTGAGCAGGAGAATGAAGGAAGTGGTGATCAGGGAAAGAAGGAGTTCAGGGATGGTTGGGAGTTTAGGAGCTGAACATCCTTGGTACAAACGGTGTCCTTCTCCTCTAAATTCTGTAGCCTGGACAGCGCAGCCAACGTCCTGAGGGGAGCCACTCAAATGCAGGGAACAGAGCATGTGAGGGGTCCTGTAAAATCCTGCTAGCTTATATCAGCATCTGCTGCTCACATACAGTGGAGAGGGCTCTGACCGGAAGTCCAATTATTTTGGAAAAGACTTTAGCTGAGTTTTGAAGGTGGTTTCTGCTTTGCAGAGTGATGGAGTAGAACCAGCAGGAGGAGGAGAATGTCATAACACTCAATGGAGGAATAGTAGAAATGAATTGAGCTTCCTCAGGAGATAGTGCCGCTGCAGGTATCTCCTGAGGATCTCCTCAGTGTCCAAGTAAATTTCATCAGATTATCATAGATTGTGCTCTGGTACTTATAATATTCAACAATTTCTACAGGCTTCCCATGGATAATGGAGCAGCCTGCCACAGCCAGTTCCCTCAGCTTGTTGGAAAAAGTCACTACCATCTCCTTGGTCTTGTTCACATTTAGTTCCAGGCAGGATTTATCGCACTAATCCACATACTCATGAAGAGCTGAGTTGTGGTGCTGTAGGGGGCCTAAAAGCAAAGATACAGTGAGGAAAATAAGTATTTGAACACCCTGCTATTTTGCAAGTTCTTCTACTTAGAAATCATGGAGGGGTCTGAAATTGTCATCGTAGGTGCATGTCCACTGTGAGAGACATAATCTAAAAAACAAAATCCAGAAATCACAATGTATGATTTCTTAACTATTTATTTGTATGATACAGCTGCAAATAAGTATTTGAACACCTGTCTATCAGCTAGAATTCTGACTCTCAAAGACCTGTTAGTCTGCCTTCAAAATGTCCGCCTCCACTCCATTTATTATCCTAAATTAGATGCACCTGTTTGAGGTATTTAGCTGCATAAAGACACCTGTCCACCCCATACAATCAGTAAGAATCCAACTACTAACATGGCCAAGACCAAAGAGCTGTCCAAAGACACTAGAGACAAAATTGTACACTTCCTCAAGGCTGGAAAGGGCTACGGGGAAATTGCCAAGCAGCTTGGTGAAAAAAGGTCCACTGTTGGAGCAATCATTAGAAAATGGAAGAAGCTAAACATGACTGTCAATCTCCCTCGGACTGGGGCTCCATGCAAGATCTCACCTCGTGGGGTCTCAATGATCCTAAGAAAGGTGAGAAATCAGCCCAGAACCACACGGGAGGAGCTGGTCAATGACCTGAAAAGAGCTGGGACCACCGTTTCCAAGGTTACTGTTGGTAATACACTAAGACGTCATGGTTTGAAATCATGCATGGCACGGAAGGTTCCCCTGCTTAAACCAGCACATGTCAAGGCCCGTCTTCAGTTTGCCAATGACCATTTGGATGATCCAGAGGAGTCATGGGAGAAAGTCATGTGGTCAGATGAGACCAAAATAGAACCTTTTGGTCATAATTCCACTAACCGTGTTTGGAGGAAAAAGAATGATGAGCACCATCCCAAGAACACCATCCCTACTGTGAAGCATGGGGGTGGTAGCATCATGCTTTGGGGATGTTTTTCTGCACATGGGACAGGGCGACTGCACTGTATTAAGGAGAGGATGACCGGGGCCATGTATTGTGAGATTTTGGGGAACAACCTCCTTCCCTCAGTTAGAGCATTGAAGATGGGTTGAGGCTGGGTCTTCCAACATGACAATGACCCGAAGCACACAGCCAGGATAACCAAGGAGTGGCTCTGTAAGAAGCATATCAAGGTTCTGGCGTGGCCTAGCCAGTCTCCAGACCTAAACCCAATAGAGAATCTTTGGAGGGAGCTCAAACTCCGTGTTTCTCAGCGACAGCCCAGAAACCTGACTGATCTAGAGAAGATCTGTGTGGAGGAGTGGGCCAAAATCCCTCCTGCAGTGTGTGCAAACCTGGTGAAAAACTACAGGAAACGTTTGACCAAACAAAGGCTACTGTACCAAATATTAACATTGATTTTCTCAGGTGTTCAAATACTTATTTGCAGCTGTATCATACAAATAGATAGTTAAAAAATCATACATTGTGATTTCTGGATTTTTTTTTTTTTTTTTTAGATTATGTCTCTCACAGTGGACATGCACCTACGATAACAATTTCAGACTCCTCCATGATTTCTAAGTGGGAGAACTTGCAAAATAGCAGGGTGTTCAAATACTTATTTTCCTCACTGTAGAAGAACTGCATCATCAGTGTACTTAACCAAGTGACAGTTTGGGTGGGCGGACCTTCAGTCATCGGTGTAAAGAATAAAAAGCAGAGGAGGAAAATCAATTGATTTATTAGTTGAAAGAAATAGGTCATTTTAATTGTAAAATAATCATTCAAGTAATTTGCCAAGTAGAAACGCAAAACATTTGCTTCTCAAATGCGAGGATCTTTAACTCAGTATGCACTCCCCTCATATACAGTCCCCTCCAAAAGAATTTGAACGGCAATCACTGAAGACATTTGGGTTTAAGATCAAATTTCAACTTTCATTTCCTGGTATTAACATCTAGATGTGTTAAACAACTCAAGACATACCACTCTTTGTTTGAACCCACCCATTTTTCAAACATCTGTCAGTCACATGTTTCAATAGTTTTGCTCACTTGAAAAATGGGTGGGTTCAAACACAGATGTTCACACCTAGATGTGAACACCAGGAAATAAAAGCTGAAATTCTGAACTCTTGTCTCATACTCATCTTTTGATCTTAAACCCAAATGTCTTCAGTGAACAACAAAAACAAAGGAATTTGCCTTACTGTTCCAATACTTTTGGAGGGGACTGTATGTGGCCTGTACTGTCCATGGTACTCCCAAGCAAAAGTAGAACATAAAAAACATAATACACATGTATTTTTATGTGAAAAACAGTATTTATTGTTTCAGCATATTGATAAATGTATTCCACTTTCATGTATTCCTTGACACACACTTCCATCTGGTGGCTGAAGCAACTCATTGCAGCTCGTTGAGTCAGGGCTGCCTCTTGAAACAAGACATCTAGCTGTTTGCTCTTCCAAGAGCTTAAATAAACTACACAAGTAATGTGGCCTCTTGGAAAAAGATGAAGAATCACTTCCAATGGGGGCACGTTGATAACCAGATGTCAGTGTGAATGTTTCATATTAGAGTTCAGGTGAGGTGATCCGCCTTCTCAGCGTTTCTTCCAGGTGAACTTCTTTCTCGCTCCCTCCTGGCCCGGCTTCTTCCTCTCCCTCACTCTCGGGTCGGGGGTCAGCAGACCAGCTGGAAATAAGAGAAACGAATGTAACAGTTTGGAAAGTGAGGGAAGTCGCGAGACAAGGTGCTTTTTAGAAGTGTTCTGTTCAGCTGTATCTCAGTCAGATATTTTTGTTTTGTAAGGAGTACGTTTTTAAGCCTCAATGTTTTTACCTACATCTGCCTTTCTTCTTTCTTGTTATCTTCATGATGTGGAAATAAGCCTCACCTTAACTCTACAGGACTCCTATCTTAGCCTTTTACAGTGTGTTCAAATTAAATCTTAGCAACATAGTCAATAAAATGAAGATAATGTATATATTATTAGTCTGTGTTATACTGTCTTTTGCATTTGTATTCATGTTTTAAATCCTCACATTTACCAACCATCAATTGTACGTATGACTATCAAGGTAGACCTATTAGCCAGCTCTTAGTTATAGAACTATAATAATGTAAAGAGAAAATGTAAGAGTATATAAAGCTCGACATGCAGCAAGAACACTGAACATACACATTATATTACATACATTCACCTGAAGGACACACAATGACGGGAAGACAAATTACATTTTATAGCCACTTAAAAAGGATCACACTGGTAAATTTAAATGATTTTCAGCACTGTTTTTTTAGATTGGCTCCCTTCCAGTCAGTGGTTAATTGAAATTCAGTATGCTATCAAAACAATTTAGCAATGACTTGTAACTTCCTCATATACTGTCTGTTCTTTAAGAGCAGGGTCTTGGATGGAAGCACCTACACCTGAGCTTTTGGCTGCATTAATGAGCCACTGTTGGACTGACTGTCTAGTCAGTCAACAATTAAACAATGTGACAGGGGCAGTTTTTGTTGCATTGAAAAGCAGATTTTAAACATTTTGTAATAACAAGCTGAACAAACTGTCCCTGCTCACTACCCTGCAATGATTAATCACTTACCAAAAAACACATACACACACAATTAAATGTTAATTTGGATGGATTACCTGTTACAAATACATTTTAATAAAGGTTTCACTCCACAGGCAGACCCTATTGTGTGCTCTGAAGGTAAGATATATTTGGGGTATATACTGGAAAATTAAAGTAATAATAACCTTGATATGTACAGAGCTTTTCTAAACAAAGTTACAAAGGGCTTTCAAAGGAAAAGAAGGAGGATTAGAGCTTTAAGAAGTGACCTCCCACCTTGTCTCATGGTCTCCACCTCTCCCTCGGACAGGAAGCTGAGGATGGCGCGGGAGATGGCGAGCCGCAGCGCCCCCGCCTGGCTGGACCGCCCGCCGCCGCTCACGGTGCACTCCAGGTCAAAGCGTCCCAGCATGCCCATGAACTGCAGCGGGAACATCAGCTGCTCTCTGAGAGCGAGGGAGATGAGGAATTAAAAAGAAGGAGAGGGGGGAAATGACCAAGAAATAATGATAAAAGAAGAAGAAGAGGTGAAAGAATGAAATGTGGTTGAATAGGCAGAGCAGGAGTGTGTGCTATTTAACAGATAGTGGTATCAACGGCGGAGGCTTAGCTAATTTAATGTCTGGTTGGGTGACTTTTCAGACAAGCATAGAGGATCCTGGCACTGTGAAAAGCTTTCATTTACAATCTCACCACCACATATTACAGAGCAACTTCTGACTCAGCAGGAACAGAGTGAGCTTGTGTGTGCGTGTGAAAAGAAAGTGTCTATGTTCTGGATGGCGTCTCAGCCTGAATGGCCTATGGCTGCTGACAAAGTCAATTGTCACCTCTCTGCTCCAATTACAGCCCGTCCTCACACTGCGTGACAACACCATCTCTGGACATTCTCTCACACACACACACACACACACACACACACACACACACACAGTCATTCAACTGTGTAATTAACTTACTACAAGGAGATAAATAAAAAAGCAGGCGATGCCGTGAAGAGCGAAAAAGCTGCTTTTTAATTTTTTTGGGGGGGGGGGGGGGGGGGACACACATCACGTCTTGCATTTTAAGGAAAGTGGTCTCTGTGAGTGAAGCAGCAGAGAGCCTGTGATGTGGAAAAGGTTTATTTGTTCAGAGTGGAGACACTCCTACCTGTCCTGCAGTACTGGGAAGTAGTGCAGGTAGTCTTGGCTGTTGATGGTGATGCGTCCGGAGCCGCAGTCTCGAAGAACCACAGAGGAGTTAGACGTCTTCCTCCGACCTGAGAGGAAACATAAGACTTATCTCCATTTTCTTAGTAGATATCACAATAGAGTTGGAAGCTAACTCAAAAGTCAGTTGTAAATGTGTTTAAGTGTACATTTACGGAAACATTTGTTAAATGTTTTACATTACAACTGAACTGAAAATTTTGTGGATTTGACCATCACTTCCTTCAGCTGAGCTTAGGGAACACAGCTTCATCCCTATGTAGTGAACCAGCCATTGTTGGTTAAATTATTTTATATCAAAAAGGATTAATCCAGAATATCTCTTTGTCTCCCTGACAGAAAGGGGGGAGGGGGGGATATCAACCCTCAACAAACAGCTGAAGAACCCTAAAGGGGGGGTGGTAAGGTTTGCTTCACTCCCCACACACAGACACTCCCCAAGACCAAAAGGGGCAGGGTAACCATGGTAACGATGTTCCTCTTTCAGATTACCTCAGACATCAAAGAACCCCCTTTTCTTCAGTCTTGATTCTCTACCCCGCCATTAATTTGGACTCTTAACATGCCCTCTCCCTTTTCACACCCAGTTGTGAAACTGGTGAGAAACGCCAGATGCCAGAGAAGGACACAGCCTCAAATTTCTTTGTAGCCAAATGAATGTTGTCTCCTTATAAACTTATAATCTTTGTTAAGTTACTTAGTGGCCTGCCACTTCAATTTGAATAGTTCTATTACCATGTTCTTGTTAGAAACTGAAAGAATTTTGCAGTCCTCTTTAATCTTCAGTAATGCTTCGGCATTTAATTTATGTTGTACCTAATGTTGTTCCAAGCACCTTTATATACTTTCTTTATAAATGATATGGTATAGAAATATTGTCATGTGTTAAATAACCAACTTTCGCTCCTGACCCAAGGATGGAGTTAACTCTAAGTAGATTGTCAGAGGATTCTCAGGTCCTCTCATGGAACCAGTGTCCTCCCAGAGGACAAATTAAGTATTACATGTCATTGTTAATGCCTCTCCTTCTGTTTAATGTACAGGTGCTGGTCATATAATTAGAATATCATCAAAAAGTTGATTTATTTCAGTCATTTCATTCAAAAAGTGAAACTTGGATATTATATTCATTCATTACACACAGACTGATATATTTCAAATGTTTATTTCATTTAATTGTGATGATTAAAACTGACAACTAATCCCAAATTCAGTATCTCCGAAAATTAGTACATTACTTGAGGCCAATACAAAAAAAGGATTTTTAGAAATGTTGGCCAACTGAAAAGTATGAACATGAAAAGTAGGAGGAGTCGATCAGTCTGTGGCACTGCTCAGGTGTTATGAGAGCCCAGGTTGCTCTGATAGTGGCCTTCAGCTCTTCTGCATTGTTGGGTCTGGCGTATTGCATCTTCCTCTTCACAATACCCCATAGTTTTCTATAGGGTTATGGTCAGGCCAGTTTGCCAGCCAATTAAGAACAGGGATACCATGGTCCTTAAACCAGGTACGGGTAGCTTTGGCACTGTGTGCAGGTGCCAAGTCCTGTTGGAAAATGAAATCTGCATCTCCATAAAGTTGGTCAGCAGCAGGAAGCATGAAGTGCTCTAAAACTTCCTGATAGATGGCTGCGTTGACCTTGGACCTCAGAAAACACAGTGGACCAACATCAGCAGATGACATGGCACCCCAAACCATCACTGACTGTGGAAACTACACTGGACTTCAAGCAACGTGGATTCTGTGCCTCTCCTCTCTTCCTCCAGACTCTGGGACCTTGATTTCCAAAGGAAATGCAAAATGTACTTTCATCAGAGAACATAACTTTGGACCACTCAGCAGCAGTCCAGTCCTTTTTGTCTTTAGCCCAGGCGAGACGCTTCTGACGCTGTGTCTTGTTCAAGAGTGGCTTGACACAAGGAACGCGACAGCTGAACCCATGTCTTGCATACGTCTGTGCGTGGTGGTTCTTGAAGCACTGACTCCAGCTGCAGTCCACTCTTTGTGAATCTCCCCCACATTTTTGAGTGGGTTTTGTTTCACAATCCTCTCCAGGGTGCGGTTATCCCTATTGCTTGTACACTTTTTTCTACCACATCTTTTCCTTTCCTGTGCTTGGACACAGAGCTCTGTGAGCAGCCAGCCTCTTTAGCAATGACCTTTTGTGCCTTGCCCTCCTTGTGCAACGTGTCAATGGTCGTCTTTTGTCAAGTCAGCAGTCTTCCCCATGATTGTGTAGCCTACAGAACTAGACTGAGAGACCATTTAAAGGCCTTTGCAGGTGTTTTGAGTTAATTAGCTGATTAGAGTGTGGCACCAGGTGTCTTCAACATTGAACCTTTTCACAATATTCTAATTTGCTGAGATACTGATTTTCGGGTTTTCATTAGTTGTCAATTATAATCATCAAAATGAAAAGGAATGAACACTTGAAATATATCAGTCTGTGTGGAATGCTTGTATACATTATACAAGTTTCACTTTTTGAATGGAATTACTGAAATAAATCAACTTTTTGATGATATCCTAATTATATGACCAGCACCTGAATTAGTATGTATTTTATTGTTTGGAATCTGATGCCATGTTCTTATAACTTATACATTTTCTAAGTAAGAATGTTTAACAATCAGTATTCTCCTGGAAGTTAAGTTTAGTTAAGATGCTCCTATGAAACAGAGCACCATGCGCTGCTCTCATCTCTTCTTTTGGCACGCTTACGGAACGTGCTCCATTGTCCAAGCAACACCAACGCCCAAGATTTCGACCCGGCATTGTCCGTGAAATTTTCTTTGTCTTTCAGCAACTTACTTCATGCGAACCTTCGTTGAATTTACTTTCTGATGAAAAGTAGTTACAAGTTATCAGACCGTTTAAGCCACGCAAATTTGAATTCAGGAACAACCAAGTTCCCTTTTAAGCTTTATTTCAGTTGAATTAACTTCTACCGCTCCCACCGAAGTTTGGACCCAGCCACGTGGGTTAGTTACACTAGCTGTAACACCGAGAACATCAACCGACGAACCAAGCTAGGCAAACGGCCTATCACTGCAAGTGAGAACTACATTCTGTGGTCGAGGTGAAGTCCTTTTCATCTTTAATTCTTTAGCCTTTAATCCTTAGTCATTTTAGCCTAAAACTCCTAGCCAAATTTAACTTAGTTATGATCATATAACTTGCGTTCCTTAGTTCTCTTACTCCCAAATTCTTTCCCACAATAGACCAACTAAATTCACATCGAACTCCATTATTCTCATTGATTGCATTCTGGTTGTTTAATCATTATTGTTGTATGTCTATTTAACCTCAGTGTGTATTCACTTTAGTTATTTAATAAATTTCACCTTAATCATAGGAACTGTGTGTGTGTACTGTTTAAATCCAAGTCACTGGACGGAAGATTCACGACTTTGATATGAAACTGACTGACCGATTAAACTGATTCAAAATGATTGGCAATTATTAACTAACTGATCACTAGTGAATAATTGTGTAATTATTAATTAATAATTAATCAATTATTAATTATTAATAATTGTGTAATTATTAATTATACCCATGGAGTAACTTTATTAACCTGTAAAGTAGGTTTGCTAAACCTACAATGTTTAACAGCGCAAGAAATTTTCTCTTTCAAATATGTTTAATCTGGAGGTTTGTTTAAAACCTCACGCAGGTTTTAAACAAACCACCAGTGTTGTTTTGATGTGATGTCGCCACGTTACTTCTCTGGAATTAAAGCAGCAGAGATAATGAGGGCACAACTGATGAAATGACGGACAAAACTACAAAAATAAGTCCCAGGTTGTATAAACCTGGAGTTTGCCTTTAAGTTCAGAAGATCAAGTAGTATTTTGGTCACTCTGGTCCAACCAGTGAAATAACACAAGGGGGTAACTTGTTTGTATCCAACTAAAAGTTTGTTTCTGCCACAGACTCCCAACAGCTCCCATCAGTGCATGAATGTGACACTAGAATTCATGAGGATGGGATTATAATTTAGGATAATTTTACCAAAAATAGTGTTAAAAAATCCACTTTTGCTTGTAAATTAGACAGAGCAAGCAAATAAATGTGTGAGTATCCAACCCTCTGAGGTGCTGAAGGACACGCCCCGCTCATCTCTCTCTAGCAGTGGGACCATTTGCTTCCTGGACTGGGCCTCCAGTTGCCGGCGGTACCGCAGGACAAACTCCTGCTCTGTGGCGCAGTAGGGCATGGACAGCAGACGCTCCATCAGCTGGATGAAGCGATCATACTGGAGAACACAACATGATAAGCCAAACTCCACCTACTACGTGTCACTCTGAAAGTCATCTAGAAGATGAGGATGAGAAAAACCAAGCTCTTACGTCATGCGTGGAGATGGTCTCCACCAGCAGCGCCTCCAGCTCCTCCTTTGTGAGCCACCTGCTTGTGCCTAGAGAGCTGATGAGACAGACATGCAGACGTTTTCATTATCCAGAGATCCCAAAACCAACAGCGTAAGTGCTGAAGAAGACTGATCTGCAGTCAGTCAATGCTTGGTGTCACTTTCTGAGGTCAAACTGCCTCTATCTGAAGAGGTTTCACAGCCTTTACACAACATCTTAATGTATGTCTGGAATCATGTGACCTTTAAACCACAAAGACCTTGTGTATACAGCTCTGTGTAAGTGTACTTTCATTATAGCTAGTTGCTGAACTGCAACGTTTGAACAAAATACTTAATAAGAGGTAGTACCTGTGGTATCAGTACCTTCACTAAACTTCACTAACATGCCAAAAAAATTGTAAAATCTTTAAAAATATCACTGGGCTAATGTTTCAAGAGGTTTTCGCTTCCCAGAACAGTGTTGGCACATACGTTCCTCTACTTACATCTGCTTGACGTCCCGGGAGAAGAGTCCCTTGGCTCTCAGGCGATCCTGGTACTTCTCTATGTTCAGGATTTTGTTGTACATTTCCTAAAACGCACCAAAAACAAACAACATTCAGGAAGACACACTCCGTCATCTTCACAAGAGGGCAGATTCCCGCATCCCTGGTGAGTTTAACGTGGCAGAAGACCCCAACTTTCCTATTCCTTAAACCCAGATCTCCCCACAGCAGGAGCTGCCATGCAGAGCGAGCTAGCTATCCAAGGGCGGGACAGTGGCCTTGTCTAAATTGGCATCGTGCCTGGAGGAAACCCTTCATGTGTGGCCCTTTCTGGTGGGTCACAGTTAAATTTAGGACTTGGACTGAGTCTAGGATTTAAAAAACAAACCAACGTGATTAAAGTAAGAAAAGGGTAAGCGTGCCTCCAACAGTTTGTGTTTGTCCATTTCCTTTCTCAACATGACAATGCCAGGTCCATAAAGAAATGGTTCCCCAGTTTGGTGTGGAGGAACCTGACTGGACTGCAGGGAGCCCTGACCGCAACCCCACCAGTTCTGGACTTCACTAATGATCTTGCGCCTGAATGGGAGCACATCCCTGCAGCCAAGGTAAACATCTGAAGGAAAGCCTTCGAAGAAGAGTGGAGGCTGTGACAGCAGCAGATTAATGCACGTGGTTTTGGGACTAAATGCTTGCGTCCACCTACTGCTGACCTTCAAAGAAAACTCTCAGCTGATCCGTCCACAACCCCTGATCCAGGTCAACTTTAAAAACATTCGCTGGTTTCAGCTGCTCACATATGACGATTTACGGCTTTTATGTTTTATGCTGAGAATTTTTCATTGACTATTTTGTCCTGGTGGTCAAACAAAACAATCATCTTGGGCTTTAGGAACCTGCGATGGGCATGTTCCCAATCTTTGTTTTTACATTTCATATACTATACTGTTAATCTAAAATCATCATTTGTAACGTCTTCTGATGTTTCAGAAGGAATCACCTGAGGCTTCACAGATTTGAGTTTTGCACTACAGAGACCAACTTTTTACTCACATTCATTGGTAAATATTTAAAGTATTTCATGGGTTTAACACTGGGAAAGTGTAGAATACATCCTATTGGAATAAGCCCTGGTGTACTGTACACATGAAGTTGATTTATTTATTTGCCTGACAAATCATGAAATATTCTTTAAGCCTGGAAAATAAGGCAAAATTGATTATTTAATTAGTATGTATTCTGATTTCTTCCATATTATACAGTAAATTGTTTTTGGCCAGTGTAAAATGAATTCTGTTGTACTCGCTGTACCTGACTGGAAAAGATGTTCAAGTTGGTTTTCTTTATGTTTGGACTTCTTTTGGCATACTGTTTGGAAAATACATATGGACTTATATGAATTTATGGCATCTTCTATGCCCATGACACCTGCCAATGACAATAAAACCTTCACTCATTCGTTTTCCTTCAGTTACTGGGCTGAATTGACCCGGGCAGCTGTGCACGGATTTGGCCTGAAGCAAAGCTGGAAGGAAACCTGCCGGAGCAAAAACATGAAACCAAATAAATGACAGGACAATTTCGGGGCTCACTCGTCATTAGATCACTCTCGCGTTGGGAATAACCTCAGGGGTAGTGCGCCACGGCGAGGGGCACTGGCAGAGACAGACAGACAGAGGGTGGGGGGGGGGAGGTGGGGTGGGCATGCTGGTCACGTCCCTGAGGCACACACCCCCACCTCAGCCGCCCAGCGCCTGGGTGAGAACTCATTTCCCCGTCAATTATTCACCAGATGTTTGTTTAATTCCTTCTTGATAGAGTGTGCCTAATCCGCTGCCACTCCGACCAGCGACAGAGGGGTACGGGAAGAGCGGGGGGTACCAAAAAAAAAAAAAGCAAACATCAAGCAAAAACCAATTCCCCCCCCAAAAAATAGCGTAATAGAAAATCAGGAAAAAAAAGCAGGCAAGAGGGGAGGACGGGGGCTTGGATAAGGGGCATGCGTTATGCGTTTGCAAACACTGGCCGCTACAATGGCGAGGAATAATGCGCATGGATTGGCCGGATGAAAGAGGAGAGGACCAGTATCTGGATACATTTAAGTCGAGGTTGTTACAGAGACAGACAGCTAGAGCTCCACACTTTGTATTCAATAAGTGGTCTTTATACGCACGGCAAGACCCTCAAGGCTTTTAGCTGAGCGAGAATATAGTCAAGCTTTTACATTCAAACCCAAAAGGCAGCAATAAAGGAGGCTCTCTGGTGGGGTATCTGCTCTACTGTTTATTTGGTATGCAAGTTTTGACGGGGTTAGCATGAAGGGCGAAGGTGTGCTGCTGGGGTGTTTTCAGGTTCCCAGGGTTGTGGCCATAAAGGGCTCAGTGGAGCAGCGAGCAGGTTAATGTAGCACGCTGGCTGAGCCCGACAACAACTAGAGGAGAGAAGCCAACCAGGAAGGCTGCTTTACACGCCACCGCCCCCTCCTGGCAACACTCCTGAGGGTGTGTGTATGTAGGTGTGACGGTTAAAATCCCCCCATTTTGGAATGGACACACGATGGGAAAGAGTGAAGGAGAGAAAAACAGGAAGAGGTAAGGTGGAAGAAGAGGGAAATGTGATGGTAAAAAGTGACTGAGCCTGCAGACCTGTCTGACATACCTATTTAATCCAACAGCAGGGGGTGCAGATTGTGGCTGCAGGGCATAATAGTGTGTGCGTGTGTGTAAGAAGCGTGAGCTTGGGCCGATGCTCAGACATCACACCTCGCTCTGGGTTTTAGATACAGACGCACGCCTCTTCAACGTGAAATGTCTTTGAACAAGGTCAGTGGCAGACAGGAAGGGAACGGTTGAGAGTGAGAAAGCAACAAAAGATGGAGGAAGAACGAGGTCTGCTCAGAGGTGAGGAGCAGTATGAGCCACCCCCACCAAAATCCCCACAGAGGAGTTGCTCCCAACATGATTTTGAACCTAGACACAAAAACATCCAGACAGATGTACATTGTTTATTTTTCACATCCAACACCTGAATGCATGTTGTTTTTGTTTTTAAATGGGATCTCAGTGGTTTTGGGGGAAAATACCTTCAATTCATCTTCAATTCACCCCCCCCCCCCCCGCCGCCGCGCCATTTTTCTTATGTTTATCATTTATACATTGAAATAGATAAATTAAACATCCTTTAATGTTCTCATCACAGTAAGAGGCCTGATCCGGTTGGATGTTTGGTGCCCTCTGTCGGATCGTTTTGTTTTAAAGGACTACAGACATTAAATTATCTTTTTTTCCCCCATCAGCTGCCTCGTGTTCTCTCCTTTACTCTTCTTTCCGCATCTTATCATAGCCCTGTTCAGTAGGACTCTCTTCACTTTGCTTTAAAGCTGCCAGTCCTGCAGTGTTCCTGAGATGTGAAAAGAATCTGGACTGTGCCTGACATATCACAATCAAGGGGTTTCATTTTCCCTTTCATTTGCTGGCCTTCTAACCCACAAAAGAAACACACAGAAATCATGCTTTTTGAATGTTTTTTGTTACAGGTTATGCGTTTGTTAAACAATTGTCGATTTATGGAGTTTTTATTCCCCAAATATCAATATGAGACTGAAAAATCCCATATCAGCAGTGCTTCAGAAGAGATAATAACACAAGACATTTCTGCTAATGTTAGTTTTGGTTTAGTTTGGCGAGGTCTTGAGCTCTCCTCCACTCAGACTTGTGCCATCGCCCCAGTAAAAAACCTCGATAGAGCTTTACTGGAAAACCTTTTAAGAAACTGTTTATGGATAAAATAAACAGACAGAAATGTGTGCTTTGTGGCAAATCCAGCACAGAATCATATAAAAATTAATTCTTGTTATAAGTCCTGCTCATTCACAGGCACCACTATCCAACATAGCCAATAAAGCCTGAGATATTAATGGCCTGTTTATTCTGATTTTGACTATAAAATATACAATTTTAGCTCCTCTGGAGCACAGGTAGATACGAACATTCCTTAGTGGATCACCCTTTAAACCAGACCCCATCCTTCTCACCTGTCCCCTCCCTCCACCTCACCCCTTCTCTAATCTCCCACCTCTCTTTCACCCCAGCTCTACTCAGCTATGGCTCTCCGTGGGGAAGAGGATCTAACGTTGCCTCTCCTCTGGGACGGCGCAGCCTTCTCTCAACTCAGTCTGTCTGAATAGGATATGACCCGAGGGTGTGTGTATTTGGGGGGGTGGGGGTGTACTAGGGATTTGAGCTGGATGAAGATTCACCTGCACCTCACATAAAAAGCTGACAGCTGCATTCACCTGCAATACTCACATGCATCAGGGAGTAGTAGGACTGTTTGCCGGTGTAAAACAGGAAGTGGAACGGCCGTCCGTCCGCTCCCCACTGGACCGCTTTGAAAAGAGGACCGAAATCAGTTGTGAAGCAGTTTACACAATACTCACAATTCTGGAAACATTTACAATAAAAAAAAAACATAATCACATGCACAAATGACATACCTCTCTGCCTTGGAAATATTTCCTCTGGATGCTGGAAATGAAAACAGACGCCTTTATGTGTTTGTTATTTCTACAGATGCACAATAAAACTTTGTTAAATATCCATCTATACTTTTTAAAGCTATTCTTTAGCCGGTGTAGACTCCACACGAGTCCACACCCTTTTTTGTGTCATGTGTAGTCATGACAGCTACAGTTACTAACATAATTTCTTCCTAAGTGATTGTGCCTACAAAATAAAAGAGCAAGAACAGTTTATTGACAGCTTTTACTTTGAAAAGTTCTGAAGGACATTCAAAAGAGTCTCTTGCTTGCTTGACACACCTCTGAAAAAGCCGCCAGTAAACGTGTGATTGGATTCCCCTGAATTTCCTCAGGGAAATGAAAATATGCGTCCATAGGTTTATGAATGCAGATCAAACGCCGGGACACACACACACACACACACACACACACACGCTTTATTGTGAGCATGTGCAAAAGTGTCCTTATAATCAAGAAAAAAAATATCCGCCGAATGTTGGGATCGATCATACAACCCTCCCACTCAGCTAAACATCCACATGGACGTATTAGGATTTGAAACAATTTGACTATTTTTGGCCCGCCATGTAACAGCGTGAAAAAGATTTGGCCAACCAACAGACTTATTTGCCAACCCCTGGTCTACGATAAGTGTGAACATAGGTTGAGACAGTTAAACCAAACAGCGACTTTTACTTTACAGTGGGATTTTTACAAGTCCAGTGAGGTATAAATAATCAGTATTTCACAAGAGAAAGAAGCAATAATGAGAGAAAAGCCAATAAAATACAAGCGCTTCAAACTTCGCTACACTTGTTTTTCATCTGTTTTTTGTTATTTATGACAGAAATACAGCCATTGGAAAAGGAAGCCAAGGTTTTTGGATTGAAGAACAGCAGACTTTAGACATTCAATATTGTTTTGCTTTATATTTTATGTGTTACAATATTATTATTAATTATCTGTTAAGTTCTGTGTGTGTAGCATGAAGGGACTACAACTTTTTCTTCGTTATACAACCTTGCGTTGTATAATGATAAATAAACTACCCTGTATAATTTTGGGACCCTTCAGATTTTTCTTTGGACTCCTTGGGGGAGCGATGGGAACCACAGCCCTAGTGGGGGAAAGACTTTTATCCAATAAGTGGAAAAAAAGGCAAAATGTTCACTGGCTTTTTCTTATCTAGTTTTATTGCAGGAGTGAATGAAAACAACACTATGTGAAAAAGTCACCAAATGTCACACCAGTTACAACAAGCAATAAAAGTTTGTTACATGAGCTTTATCATAAAAACTAAGCTTTAATGTCGGCCATGCACGAGACAGGAAAGTTCATGAGTCTAACCCACACAGACGTACCTTCATGAGGGGCCGAGCTTTCTTCTCAAACAGGCCAGAGGGGAAGAGGTAGGCGATGCTCCTCTGGCGGTGAGAGAAGGACAAAAAAAATGTAATAAATAACAGGAAAAACTAAATGGCAGTTTGAGAGAGTGTTGATGGCAGATTATGACAACGCTGACTTGTCCGAACAACGGAGGTCACACCAGCGGACGACAGTGAAAGTGACAGGAGAGGAGGTGCAAGCTGCTTGTGGGTTCAAGGAAAGGCGAGTGTGATGTGCGTTGCTGTAGAGTTAGAGGGGAAAGCGAGCGGGGAAAAAAAAGGCATCCGTTTCTGGCTTGGCTGACAATAAGGAGAGGACACTGTGTGGACGTCCTACAGTTCACTCCAAGTTCATCCTCTGCTCTGTGTGTGCGGGGCTACAGATGGCACTGAAAAAGTGTGTGTGATAGAAGAGAGGGAGACAGGAAGTGTTTTGGCCCCGCCACACTCATCAAGACAGTCTGTTCATCTCCCTCTTCCTCCATCCCACCATCTCTCCACTCTTCTTCCTCTTTTTTTCCTCCTCTCTGTCGGATCAATTAGTGAGGCAGCAGGTGCGGCGAGGAGGGAGCAGGTTGCTGCCTTTAAGGTTGTCAAAATGACAGAAAGCAGGAAAAAAAGGTCTGGTCCAGAGAAATGTGTGTGTGTGTGTGTGTGTATGAGAGGCAGGAAGAGGAAGAAGTTAAAGGGTACAAAGAAGAGAGGAAAAGGAAAAGACAGGCAGAGAGAAGCAGGGAACAGATGAAGACACACCTGCGTGTCACTTGAGCATCAGCACAATATGGCTGTCCCCGGGGGGGGAAAAGACGGAGTGACGGAGGAAGAAAGAGTCTAACTGTCACCCGTACAACTGAGCGGTGCCATATCGCTAGAGGTTGTCAAATTTTACTCATTTCGATGACATGCTGAACTCAATCGTGCTGGTGACAAAATCAAAGCCGTCTTTGGTCGTCTCTGCGGGGTTGTAAAATTTGGCTAAAGGCCGTATGCTCCCGCATCATTGTGACCAAATGAAGCAGGGCGCTAAATAGACTACAAAACCACATGGTAAAGAATCACAACTTCATTTCTAGTGGTGCTGAAACGATAAGATGACAAATCGGTTAGTTGAATGACCAAACATTTGAGGACACACATGAGGACAAGATAATCAGTTTGCAGTGATATGGAGCAGATAAAAGCAGCAACTCCTAACACTTACAAAGCAGTAACCTGCCACTGTTTGCTATTTTTGCTTGATAAATGACTTAAATGATGAATTCATTCTTCAAATTGTTAACGAATAATTTTTTTTTTCTCAACTAATTAAATAATTGGTAAATTGTTTTAGTGCTAAATTACGTATTTTGGGGTTTGGGGTTGTTGTTAAAAAAAACAAACTACCTGTTTCACCTTGTATTAATTTTCTTATAGACAAAATGATTAATTGATTAATTGATAAAAATGATAATCAACTAACAAATTAAGGATGGAAATCTTTAGTTAGGGCCCTAAACTCTATGTTCATTCAGATGTTGCTCCCCGTTGCATCTGACACAAGACTGTTTCAAACTTTTACTGTCACTGTCGACTAATCGCCCCTGTACTGTTTACATTAATGGATTAATCATTTACTTTATGTCCAAGAGTGCAAAGTGACGTCTTGAGGTTTCTCGTTTTGTCTGACCAAGAGTCGAAAAAAAGTCCACAGTTACTAAACTGTTTCAGCACTAGTTTAAAGAAAGCCTTGGCTGGATATAATAGTTGGCAACTTGCATACGAGCAGTGTTTTATAATGTATATTATTAAAATTTGAAGGTTGTGTATATTTCACAATTTTGTCAAACAGTCATACGAGATACTTATGGGTCTGTGGCCAGTGAAAGTTTCTCCCGCTGGCTGTAAACATCCTCTTGACTTTACTTTGGTCTTTATCCCCGTCACACCTGAAGAGTCTGGACTCTAAACAACAGCAGAGGGACTTCCAGTCCTCCCAAATTTTCCTCTTTCCCTCCACACATCTTAGTTTGGGCTGCTAGCCGTCGCTTTGGCTTTCACAGCCTGGCGCCAAACAGCTCTCTTCATTATTTGTGAGGCACACTGGGGACCGGGACGAGGGAAAGTGGGAAATCAGGCTAAATGGTTGGAGCAGCGAGGGCTAATGTAATGCCAAAATCTGGAATGAGCATGTGGGTGTGTGTTTGAGGGCGTTGCTAATATCTCTGATTCAGTGGATTAGCCAGAGGTGGCCCCACCTGCCTGCTGCTGGTGGAGCCCCGATGCTTATGGTGATGATGATGTGAAGAGACCGCAGCACTTTAAAACAAATCACCTCTCCAGCCTGAGGAGAAATACTGACAGGCAGGTGTAAAGCGGGGGGTTGGGTCTGTTGGCCTATTAGTAGTTAGTAATATGGACCCACTGTTGATTTTGGTCTTTTCATGGGAGAGTAAGAAAAGTAAATAATATCACCAGCATTATCCTTTAGAGGGCAATATCTATCACTTAAAATGCTAGTATTAATCATATTAACCTGGTTGTAGAATTTGTCCACTTTGACGCTTACAAAAGAGGGCAAGCCAGGAATAGAAGTGTGGGGGAGCACAGAACAATTTCTAAAATATTAGTAATCCAGAGCTCTTTGATGTGTTTGACATACATGCTAACAACCTATCTCCCCTTCGGTCTACCTCCAGAAACATACAATAACACAATCCCAAAAAGTGTAAGCAACCTTGAAATAAAGATGCTGTGAAATGGATACAGGCTGAATTGCATTTATCTTACTTTTTGTAATATCATTGTCTGACATTTCCTTCACAAAAGGAATTATTGGTATGTATTTTGTCCCTGTTCTCCCCAAAGTATCCGAACCCAAATATCAATCAGCGTCACTTGCAGATCAACTTACTTGTGTTTCCAGATTATTTTGTTGATTTCAAATAGGTTTTATAAGCTCAGGGACAAGGGCGCAGGAAGGGGGGTGTGGAGGGTGCTGCAGCACCCTCTATTGACAGGGAGGAACACAGTTTGCAAATTACATGTGCAGACTACATAAAGGCACTACTGTTAATATATGACAACATAAACTACAGCAGGTTAGAGCTGAATGAAGAGGATGCTCTTGATAATACAGCCTAATAATTTGATGTCAGCAGCTGTTTTCACTGTTTTGTTTCGATTATAGGAGCTACATTGGTGTGATGCCCAGATCGGCTCTGACAATATCTTAATAATCATGTACGCACAAATCATCCCCCCCAACCCAACTAATTATTTTCTCAAATGTATCCCACCTATACCTGTCCTTTTAACTTTCCAGGTGATTTCTTTATTGTGTTGATGTCCGAATGTTTTCTTTAACGGATTGCTTTTAAGATTTGAGAGGTCAGTCATTTTTAACATTTCCATGGGTGCAGTAATGTCACAGCTAATAACCTGGGACATTTATGTAGCAAAACTGTAGTTATAAACTTGACAGGACAGACAGAGGAAACCCTGCAGAGGAAACAGATTTCTACTTTTAGCTTCTGAAATAATTTAGATGCTCTGATGGAGCTCAGGATTGATCAGGAGTACGGCTGCTTTACTCCAAACAGTTTCACTGTATGAACCTGGACTGGGTGTGAGACCTTTTGGATGTGAAGAACACAGAACATTAATCAACATTAGATTCTGACTGATCCTGTCAGTGTGTAAATGTAAATGTTGAAGTTATGCTGCTGTGGCTCCTGAGTAAATGCGCACAGCTCTTTTTTAAGGGGAAGACGCTTCACCCTATTTCACCCACCCGGAAAGTCACAAAACGTTTTGCCCAAAGCTCTGCCCGAAAACAGCGGTGCTCTCAGTTATTGCACGCACAAGGTTTTCATGTGTTGACACTGAACGTGGAACAGTTTTTCAAGTTGAAATGATGGTGGAGACAGTATAATCAGCTGGCATGCGGTTCATTTAAGTTGATCGTGTTATCAATGGTTTTTATTTGGGTGAAATAGGATGAATCGTCTCCCCACTTTGCACATTTACGCATGTGGTACAGCCATAACGTCATTAATTATTTGAATCTCCCGTCACTCCGACAGGATCGGTCAGGGTGAACTGACAGCAGCCTCTCTAATCATGAAAGTAACTTGTTAAAGCACAAACACACAGCCTATAGAAATCTATTTACACATGATTAATCAGGGGAGCTACCGTCTTGTTAAGAGGAGCCGAGTTCCCCCGTAGTTTGCACCCTGCCTACAATCTGGACCATCAGATTCCCTCATTCTGACATCTCTCCGTGTGTTGCTATGGGTCCTGTATGTGCATGTGTGTGTGTGTTTCGGACCTGTGTGTTTAATACTAACAATAATAACAGAGTTAAAACATTGGATTTCCCCTTGCGGGATTAATAAAGTATATCTTCTTCAACAGAAAATAACGTTACTATTTTACTCATGGATTTGTTTTTCTGATGCCAAAATGTTTGTAGGTGTTGCTGAATGGGTTAAAATGAGTTGTAAGGTGCGTTACTTAGATTGTAAAGGGTAAAATATTAACGATTTATTTTTAGTAATGTAGATTTATAGCTCTCTCGATTTATAATTTAGTATATAACTGCATTACAGCAAAAAGCAATACATTACTGTAATTGTATAACTTTTGTATGCGCGCATTTCTACTCTGCAGCACCCCTAAGCGAAAATGTCATCCCGCGCGCCTGCTCAGGGGATAATAAAAAGTTACATACTGGAGCCACTTATTCCTCAGACTAAAGACAAAATAGCTACAGAATATATAGTTTGCACAATCCAGTGGCTACAGCGCATACGAGACACTCAAACAGTCCTTGCATGTGCGCAGTGAATGTCTCTTACATCTACGTCCTCCTGCGTGAAGTTCTCGGGGTCTTCTCCCATAATGTTAGCCAGGTGCCGTTTCCCGATATTAAACTCCTCCATCTGCTTCTGGATGAACTCCACTGTGAACTTCTCTGGCCCTGCAGCCGCCAGGTTCTTTCTGTGGAGGGCAGAGCTCACACATATCTGCCTGCTCAGAACCTGGAGAGGAGGACAAGTGCCGTTATTTTGAGATATGTAACGTTAGCCAAACCATGATAACTTGCTTAATATCTGGAGCAGCAACTATAGCCGAACTCTAGTTAAGGGTTCAATAATTTAAATTAAGCTATCACAAAGTCTATTACACTGTGATAAAAGTAAAAGCTGTTATTTCAGATATCTGCCAAGCCAGTTTCGGCTGACTGAAGCTGCAAGAGGATGCTAACTCAAGGACGTCAGTGTTTGTGCATTGTAGTACATTTCTATGGATTCACGGTTTTTTACATGCAGATCTGGTTATCGTATTAAAGTCAAAATCGCACTTTACCTGTCGGCTTAACTGAGACGTGACTTTGTTTACACTCGAGCTGTAATTCCGACATTTTCCAAGAAACGGTGCCACGGTTCGCACACACGACGCCGCCATTTTTGCTGACAACAGTGACGTCAACGGCGGAAGTTGTTATACGTCAGAGACGCGTAGCCTAATAACAATTATAAAACACGACTACAACAAATATTTTAAAAATATAACCAGAAATCTATAGAATCGTAACCTAGTTACTATTTATTTTTATTTTTATTTCTTCATTAAAGATGTTTAACTTATCCTCCTAACCTCCATGTCAGAGAAATAAATGCAGTGTTTTCACAGCTTTGGTGGCTGTGAACTTGGTTTCATAATGTTGTTTGGCTTCATTTTCAGAATCTACAATGGCAGTTTGGTGAATTAGTGGCTATACGGAACATTGTAAAACTTATATTGTAAAAAAATTGAGCCAGTTGCCTGGCAAGGCAGCACAATTGTTGCATTCGAAGGCTCCTCAGTTGTTTATGATGACTTTGATCTGAACCACATGAATGACTGCATTTTTACACACCACTTCCTCTCTCTATATATGAGTTTATCATAACAATGTGTTTACAAATTATATTTCATAAAGACACAACAGACATGGTTGTTTAGTTTCATTAATTGTGCATTTAGAGCATGAAGATTCCTAAAACTTACTGATAAAAACTGTGGTAAAATGTTGAGATAATAAGCACCAGAAATTTAATGAAAATGTATGAATGCATGCAGGCAACATAAGGAAGGTTTATAAAGCAAATCCTCAAATAAAAATAAAAAAAACAAAGACAAAGATGGCATGGCATCACATAAACTGAAACAGCAAAAATGAATATAAAAAGAAGATAATGAAGTGGATAATCTGAGCCACATGACAACAGACCACAAAGTTGCATAATCTGCCTGAAATGACAAATGAGGCAAATAAAAATGTGTAAATTCCAACAAGGACAGAACATTATTGAGTTTTTTTTTTAAAAATCTCTCATCAGTCCACATCACATCACAATGTCACCTCTCATTGGAAACTTGTGTTCAAAAAAATAAAAAAAAATAAAAAAAAATAAAAGGACACTTGTGTTCATGTATGATCAAGGAAATTCAAAACATGCTGGCCACATGGCACAGCTAAAAGCTGAATCTGCAGTGATCCAGCACACAAACTATTCCTCTATGTCCTTTTCGAGGTTGTAAATTAATACCAGCCATTGCCAAAAATCTTAAAAGCTAAAACTACTTTCTAAAAAACCACAGGTTAAAAACTGACAACATTCACTACTTTAAAAGGTTCTTCAACAGTATGTTGTCTGACTAACTGAAATTGCATTATTCAGAGATCAGAGATCATTGACTTAATTTAGAATAGCTTCTTAGAAGTTCAATGATCATGTTGGTTTCTAAATTAGCACGTGTTTGGCCTGTTCTTCTCCCAGTGTTTCAGATTTTGATGCCACATGATCACCATGCCCGGCGCCAGTTTTATTGCATACAAGCAATTCCTACCAACACACACAACTATCAAAAGTCGCTTTCATCCAAGATACCCCAAAACATTGCAGTTGTTTAAGGCTCTGATGCCCTGTCCGGTTTAATGCGAACTGTATGTGAGCACCATCTGTCTTCCATGTAAAATCACTGACAATAGGATGGGTGCTGTAAATGTCACGGCACAGGATTTAAAGCAGCGGATCCACATGAGTTATCAGAAATAACACAATAAAAAAATGCTCAGTCACAGTCTGCCAAACATGTTGGCAAGGCTACACATAAAACAGATTGTTTTGCATATGTGGTGCAGTCGGTGCTGGGCAGTGCAGACATGGATTAGTGCAACGTTTTGTGCGGATTCCCCGAGTAGATGAGTACAAGCTGCCACCTTCAGCCAAACTTTCTAGATCAGGATGAAAATAATCTTCATTCCTCCAGGGAGCGATGAGTGGCGGTTTTTCAGTACATCACAGTACAACACATGTTCTGTACCACAGTTCTCCCATTCTTTATTTCTTGTTGAGCAGCAGGAGGTCAAGTGCCTTGCTCAGTAGCATGTGTACATATTTTCTGTTTAACTTACACATTGACCTTTGAGTTAAGGCTGTTTAAATGATTTATGTTCATGTTAGATTTCTACCCTCTAAATTTAGTGAGTCAGCTTGACTTGAATGTGGAAAAGTTAGCATTTTGAAATTATTTACCTTACAGAAATCAGAGGTAATGATATAAAAAGCTATGCTATTGATTTTGTTTTGGCTTTGCAGGAAGCAGAACCTTTATGCATTTAGCATTTCAGCACTTTTAGCTGTGACAATTAGACGCCGGTCTCTTTTATTGGCCTGGTATTGCTACACATTTCGAAAAATAAATGCAGGTCTCAATTAAGCGCCTGGTCTAGATGTATAAAACCTTTTAAAGCCCACCTGCTTGAGCTTATTCTAAGCTGCTTAGAATGTGCATACAAACATAAATTTTAAACTTTTCAATATTTACAATTTCCACATCATATATCAGTTCTTTTTTCCACAATTCAATCGTTCAGTTCACTTTACATAGACAATGAGCACCAAAGAACTATTCATTTGGTTTTCAAATAAAAAAAAGTGACTTATAAAGGTCATAAAGTCAGATTATGTGTCTATTCCTCAGTTATTTATATTCGTTTAGTCCGTTTGGGTCCATCAAAATGAATGGAAGTTGAAATAAATACAGTAATCATCAGGTTTTATATTTTCTAAGGTAGGCTATCGCTTCTTTCATATGGGGCTCTCGCTCTCTCTCTCTTTTCACCATTAATTGCTGCAGAAAATTTAATGCTCAAAATTTTCTGGGGAGTACCCACAGACCCCAAACTCATATATTTCAGCCCTGAAGATTTCTTCAAAACAGTGTTAAAATCTCATCACATCTTGTTCTCGTGAACCCAATATTGTGCACCGTCACTTCTTGGAGCTAAATCTACAATCACACCCCTAATCGATTATCAACACAAAGTGTTTTAAATTTGAGTTGTGATGTCCCATGTTTTATTGAGGTGCGTTTATGAACTTTGAAAGGAAATTATTCAAAATGTCGAGGTGCCGGTAGCCTACTGCATACCGGCCCACTTCAAGCACTGCCTGCGTCAGAAGACATAGGGCCTATTGCAAATGTATCTTATTTTTCTCTATGGTTCTGTATGAAAGTGAATTCTGAAACAAAAAAAGTTGCCAGGTCATCGAACATCTGTCCAAAGAAAACCATGTAATCTCCAAATTTCATAACATTGAGTTTTTACAGATGAACTGAAGGATGCCTCTTAGCTAAATAGATCATTAGATATCCCATTAGCTTAGCTGAAAAATGTTTGCCAGAAAGTGGAATCTGGAGCCTTTTGGAGACATGGTTTTCACAAGAGAGAGCCAAAAGTCTCTCTTAATATAGCCTACTGAAAAGGGCTATTTCAGATGCTGGTTAACATTAAGACCTTGATGTATGAAAACAGCCATAACTTTCCAGGGACCACTATCACATATGATTTCCATATTCAACAATAAGCACACGTGATATTTTCCACTTTTAAAGAGGTTTACCATTATCATTTATCATAAGCCATGCAAATGACCTCCTTGGGTTAATCATATCTTGAGGAGAAGCTCACTTCCAGTAATTGTGGACTCCTTCATTCTCAGTGTGTGTGTGTTTTCGGTACAGTAGTATGCTGTGTTTACAGATCAATGTTGTGTGTCTTCACTTAGATCACTTTGATAGAGTTGGAACAGGAACAGGGGGAGATTAATCAAAGTGAAGGGGCACTGACTCCCGGCCCGTGCCAGTCGATATGGTCACGTGGTTAATTTGCCCCAAGGAGGGCCGTCATCAGGCAGATGATAAACAGTGTTTGCCCCGTTTTTTAGCCACAAGCGTGCTCCTGCTCACCAAGAAAAATAGTTTCGACCCATGGTCTCTAATTTACAGTGGGGGGTGAGAGGTGGGACATAAATCATCCTTCTGCCGTGGCCTGCCTGACAGGCAAGCCACCATGGCAGGACTGGGTGGAGATATTCATTTGGTGTGCTCACTGTGGACTTTGGTAAACCCTGTAACTTACCGTGGTAACTTGACAGTGTGTTGTCTACAAGAATTCATTAATTTCACAGGTCACTTTTTGTTAATGAGAGGATGCACCTTGTTAATGAGAGGCAAACATTGACAGTAGCTGTGAAAATAGTGGATTTGCACTGAAAACAGTGCTATAATGTGAAAGTAAAAGGATTTAATTTAGGGAACCTTATGTTTTCATGCTTGGCATGTGCCATCAATACTTTATATGAGGCTGCCAGGCATTAGACAGTTGGCTCTCGTCCAAACTGTTCCAACAGATCTCCATATGGACGACAGGGATTCCAGTACCGTCTTGACAAGGAAACACCACAATAGGCGACATTGACCTCCTCTCAATTTGCCCCATCCCCAGATTGGGTGACATCCTTTTAATTGTAAGGCTAAAACAGAGATGGAGCAAGAAATAATGGAGGATATCACACCGTGGAGCTGTGCCAAGTCCGCTCCATCCCCCTCTCTCCCAAGGATGGAGTGCTGGAGAATTGAGGGCTTATAATACCAGCGAGCTGAGGCTTTGCTCCAGTCATCATTTCCATGCTGCTTTACGCTGATTCCCTAATATCCTTAGCGCCTTGCGTAGGGATAAGCCCATCGTGCCGAAACATGGCTGTCATGCCTATAAACCGTTCACGGCTCTAAAGAATCCATTATGGTTGCTCCACAAACATGGAGACTCAAAGGGCCACTTTGCTCAAGCTCATTTACTCTTTTAAAGCGTATTTATTTACCCTTAGTGCTGCGGTGGAAGGGATCTCCAATATATCACAATGCATCTCAGCAGATTGTGGAAATGGCATATTTAAGTGTAAGTGGTCATTTATGCCATGAATCACACATCTTTAATATACTTAGCCGCATATCTTTATGAAGCACATGTTGATCTTGCAGTACACAATGACTGATGATACTGATGTGAGGCACCAGTCACCAAAATTAAATATCAATACAAGTACTCTACATGGAAGGGAAGTCTTGATTTGTCATCTTTCCATGATATGTATCTGGAAAACACACAAT